CTTTGTTACAACATTTCAAAGTAACACAGCAATACAGTTTGATGAAGGGTAATAACTGTTCGAGAGAGAGATCGAGAGAGAGATCGAGAGATATCGATCGAGAGATCAATCGAGAGATCGATCGAGAGGGAGGGAGGGAGGGAGGGAGAGGGAGGGAGAGATCGAGAGAGAGAGATCGAGAGAGAGAGGGATCGAGAGAGAGAGAGAGAGAGAGAGAGGGAGAGAGAGAGATCGAGAGGGATCGAGAGAGAGAGAGATCGAGAGAGATCGAGAGAGATCAAGAGATCGAGAGAGAGAGAGAGAGATCGAGATAAATCGAGAGATCGAGAGAGACAGACAGACAGACAGACAGACAGACAGACAGACAGACAGACAGACAGAGAAATGTAATACACATTATTTACAGGTTGAAAATATATGTTTCACATAATATCAGCACAAGATAAAATAGATATAGATAAAAAAAATTCATTTCCACAGCTTGAAAATTTAAATGAATGGATGAATTTACACTGTAATAAAACTATTATCTTCACTTTGTTAAACAAATTTCAGATAATGTTTTCTTAGTATTCGGGGATTTCCCTGAAAAAAAAAATTAATATAAGCTCTTGTACTTCAGCACATTGACAATTTAACAGGGCATTAACTTAATTGTTTGAAATTTTCTCTCCTCTTGGTATACATTTTGGTGTCTTAACTGTTCTATTGGCAAAGCATTCATCAAACGCTGAAATTCTAAACTTTGTTATAGTGCATTTGTTGTTTGTAGTACATGTGATTGCGTAACCATGACACCCAAGTTCACAGTATGGACATCACATTTGAGCATAGGGCAATAATGATTAAAATTCTTGTTCAAAGAGCAGGTGCAATATAAAAAAGCGATTGTGGAACAATGCAATGTCCCCAGCAACTAAAATATTACCATACTCGACTGCCTTAGTACTCGTCCTTTCCGAAATGCCCCAAATTTGACTACCAAGTTATGAAACATGGTCATTGGACATGTAAATTACTTTTCTGAATAATCAAATTACAGCGAGTTTCAAAAAATACACCTTTTCTTTGTGGAAATCAATGCCAACAAATTGTACATCAATATCAGTAATTCACTATCCCAATGCATTAACTGAAATGCCATCACCAATATTTGACAATTTCCAGAAAATTGTGTTGATACAGTACAGCATTCTGATTGGTTAAATAACAAACTCAAGTCGAAAATGGCATCGCAGATAAAATCATGGCAGAAATTTTTTACATGAAAAGTTTGAGCATGATTATGCATATTTTTCTGTGAACATTTGTAAAAGTGTTGTGCATAATAATGATGATGCAACTTGTTTTGTAAAACAATGTTTCACACGACAGAATATTCCCTTAATTTGGCACATAATAACAATAATTGTCATTTTAATAATTATTTCAAATAAATTGAGGTGCTCAATAAAAAAAAATTATTTTTGAAGTTGAGTACCCTGGGCGAGTAAAGTAATGATTGTGAAAATGTATATAAATGTTAGACATCAATTTTCAGAACGAAATCAAGTAGATTTTTCGACCAAGAGATGACCTTTAAGCATAAATTCCATTGTTATAGAAACATTACAAAGCAGACAATGTTACAAGGAATTCTATTCCAACTAAGAGACATTTTTGTTAGGCAAAAAAAACACACTTAAGCTGAACATACAAACCTTAATATAGGCTCGGACATCATCCAATATATCACCAGTCTGACTTGGTTTAAATATTTTTCTCACAATGTTGATCAGCGGCCCGTCCTCGTCGGCGTCGCGACATACATGGTATTCATCACAGTAACCTTGCATGCTGTTACAAGCAGTACCAGGATGAACAAAGATCGGCTCATTATCGTCATCTAATACGTTTAGCCACTTACTAGCGCTCACACACGTGTGTTGTAGTCCTAAGAACAAATATAAATAATATTGACGATATGTGCAAGAAAAGTGATCATAATGACACAACAACAACAAAAATTAAAGCGACAATAATGATTTTGAACATTTTTTGTTTAAAAATAACCAAATAAATTTGGCTAAATCTAACCAAAATATTGTTTTATAGACAATTGCATGGTCAAATTCACCCTACACAAGGATAATGTCTTATGAAATGCAATGAAGGTCGAGTTGTCGCCATTGAGATCGGTCACTCGGTTTCAGTGTTAACATTTTGGTATGGCAGTTACAAACTAACACTGATGGCACAGAAAATGTTTTATCAAAAATAAATATTGAATTGAATTCCAGCTATTAACATTGAACTTCAAAACAAAGATTTTTTTTTTTTTTAATTGGTTCTCCTGTCTATACATTTAAATCTTACCTTCAGTACCTTCAAAAATTGTGATAATTAGAACAGTTACCAATTTGACCCGTTGTCATATTTAATTAAACTTGTTGTACCGTTAAAATCCTATTATAAACCGCATACCTAATAGTAACCGCACCCCCGATTTCGGCTTCAGTGTTGAAGAGTTCTCAACAAAAATTGAAAACATGAAAAGTACTTATTAATAACCGCACCCCCAATTCAACAAGACCGTGACTGACTTTGTTTCAACGAGCTGGTACATTGTTCCTAATCCTATTCATTTGTTTCAACAACGTGCCTAAAA